TATTGACAGAACTCATCGACATGGAACACTCTTAACAGTACAAATGTTTGATGAAAAATCAATTTCTTCCACTGGAGAATTTGCACAATCCCGTCTTGCCTCATCATGGTCGAGGAAAACTGATGTTTTACTTTATGTCGTAGATCTTTTAAGCTATGTAATCAAGACCAGCCTCGTTGTCACGATAAATAAAAACGCGTACTGACAGGAACGTAAGCGGGTGTCAAATTGTTTCGTTTTCGCCCTTTACTACCACAAAACAATACCAACGAGTTGACGAATTGTTTTGAAGATTTTTGTCCAGATTATTTAAAAGAGTTTCTACAATTGAAACAAGAAGCTTGACGTTCCTGTTGTCACACTCTTGAAAACAAAGTTTATTTCAAACAATGATACCGATTCCCTAGTAGGCATCACTGCGAACGCGTAGAAGAGAACGAAAGAAGACGGCCGTTTGCTAAAGCCTTATTGAATTGGATGTGACGAAAACTATTTCTACGTCCGATTCTGCCAATGATCGAATGCCTGGTAAATCAAAGTCACTACCTTCAACCCAGCGAGGATAATAGAAAACTCCATAAATGTGTGGAAATCATACGTGAAGTTCTAATCCCGAGGAGTTATGTGACCTGAAACGTTCAAGATGATGAATTTGGCACAGAAACAGTGTAATGAATTTACTGATTTTAAGTTCAATGTTGAAACTTTACCAACACAGCACGACTTTGCAGCTGTAATGTCGAAATCGATGTCGTCTGTGGATCTCATCCAACACTTGCAATCGACTCGAGATAACAATAGGTCTACGAGAATCACAATCAAGGTTGAAATACAAGTTCCCCATGGCTTTGTCTGATTATTTGTTGAATGCCAATTCTAGACTTTTAAATTATGGTGAGAATATCTTCGCGAAATTGTAATTGCTGACAATAGTTTCTAAATTTTACAAAAGGATCACTTCTTATATCTTTTGAGTTGTCTATTTCTGAAATTCGTTTGTCTAGAGGCGGAGCATTCGAGCCTCGAGTCTGAACATTTAACTTCGAGAACGCGAGATGTTTTTTTTTTTCCTTCAGGGTATGACTGTTGGATTGCCAGATTCTTCAGTTTAAAATGTCCAACAAACTGTTTGTGTCTTCGGCAAATGAACTCGACTAGGTGATATTGTATTGCTTTATATATGTTAATGTCCCTTTTGAAATGGAATTAACTCAATACCATCAGGCTACTCCTTACTAGATACTATACGGGAATCTCTCTCTCTCTCTCTCTCTCTCTCTCTCTCTCTCTCTCTCTCTCTCTCTATATATATATATATATATATATATATATATATATATATATATATATATATATATATATATATATATATATATATATATATGTGTGTGTGTGTGTATGTGTGTGTGTGTGTGTGTGTGCGGGGTCTTTTTTAAATTTGTTTACTTTGTTCATCAAACTCAGTTTTGATTGATTTTAATTTTTGGATTTAACCATTTTGTGCATAAGACAATTTTATTGATGCCCGTTTCCATCTTTAATAAGGTTTTGAATGTCTTTATATTTAGTTAATGTCAGTGTTAACAGTATCCACGTTAGCACTTACTGCGTCTTTTATATATATGAATCTTGATTACACGTGTCCCTGTTTTGAAAATTTGTTTTAAATCATTTAAATCGATTCTCATTGCTTTTATAAACTTGTCTACTTAATCAATATTACAGTTTACCACACCAATATTTTTAAAATCAATTTTCAATCAGCGTTTACTGTTGAATGTGGTTTAGAATGATTTAGCCTCAGCGTGCATTGTTTTTGTAAAACTTGGTGGATGTAACATGGTTTTGTCGCGTTGATTTTATCGATACTTTCGTTCTTTTAGCTGTAATTGTGAAGTCATTTACATTTATTGTTTTATAACGTCAAATATCTTTTTTCTTATTTCTGTTAACTTATTTTTCTTCGGTCCCTCAGACGAGTTATTTGTTGTAGATATCGTAATGCCTTTTATGTCACTAACAACTTTGAGAAGGAAAAGTGTTTATCTCTAACATTTCTTGATTATTCTGTTAGATTTTATTCTTAAAAATCTATCGTTAAATGTTCCAGATGAGACTGAAACGTGGGAACAACATTCCAATTATTTGGCGGGGAAGGTTCTAGGTTAGATTATCATAAATAAGAATATAAACCAAGGTTAGTTGTAAGATGACATACATTGTCTATTTCATTCTTTTTATCAATGTAAGAAAACCGCTAAGTCTATCGAAGAAAATCTTTGTTACATTATTAACATTGTGTTGATCATTTCAAATTATTATGTTGGTATTAGACGTTTACTTGGTTTTGCGAATTTATATGATGTGTCGTTTATACTGTGCTTTCTTTTTGCAACTTTGATGCAAGTGTTGATGCGCTACACCTACAGTGCATCAATAAATCATTCACCGAATTTCAAAACACAAATATATATATATATATATATATATATATATATATATATATATATATATATATATATATATATATATATATATATATATATATACACAAATATACATACAAATATATATATATATATATATATATATATATATATATATATATATATATATATATATATATATATATATATATATATATATATCCGATCTGTTTTAAATGATAGAAATAGTTCATCATAGACACAAGTGAACAATCAAAAGTCATTGTCTTGTACAGATGCATAACCTGCTTAATTCCGGTTCATTCCAAATTCCATATGGCTGTTCTTCTTGGTCCTTTTCGCTTTTCTTTGTTCTTCTCGAAACTCTGTTATCTCACCTATTTCGGCCCTCAAACTTTGTGTGGGTAGGTGGATACGTAAGTACTTAGATACGTAGATACTTGGTTAAGTCGGTACGTGGGTATATCAGTAGAGATATCTCCCCTTGTGTTTTCAAGCTTTGCTCGCGTCTTCTCCAGAATTGTGTCCGTCGACTTTCCAGACGATCGATCCCTTGGATAATTGTTGTACAAGAGAATTTCTTCAAAATTCAAACTTTCCTATACTTTGTCTCATGCAGAAAATTGTAGACTAACTAAATTTTTGCGATGGAACCGATTAAAACCAAGTTATTTCGTGTGGGAACCACACTTCTTTTTAGCGTAACCAATCCGGATTTTCCGGATTTAATATATCTACCACCTGATAAAAACTAGGCGCCAAAGATTGTGGTCCGCCTGACCTCCAGATTACCAAATAACTGATCCTATACAATTTCAATTTTGACATTTACGATACCACGATCGCAGTTAACATTCTACTTCCAGTCTGATTGTTAAATAAAGGAAGACTTAATTAAGATTACTTCTCTCGAGACATTACCATTAAAAATCCTTACAATATAGCGATTTAACTCGCACCTGTCCCCATAAATTTAATTAATCATTCACCTGCCCAAATTAATATGCTCTTTATAGATCGACAGAAATTTGCACCCTTACATCCAGAAATGCCTTCGTCATAACACGAAGATGCTGCTTTGCAAAAGGAAATACTCCGGCATTGCTTAATCTGGAGTAACCTAATTTCATCTAGTTAAATCATCGAGTTCTTAAATGAGTTTCGAAAGCATCTTTGTTTTCATGCAGCAATACGAAAGTGATGCAGGAATGTTTACGTAACCCTACACGGGTTGGTAAAACAGATTAGACAGGAAATTTGGGTTCCGACATTTTTAATTTACCGATGCTTAATTTGGGTTGTATCATCCATGCCACGTTATCAGATACTAAAATAACCCGAAGTGTGAGTTTCGATATAATGAAGAAGACAGCTCGATTGCACGTAATAGAAAATTCGACTGTGCGAGTTACATAGAATGAATGATTCAAAATATCTTCTGACTGTAAAGTGTTTCTGCTTTATCGACTCCAAGGTATGCAATATAGGTTATATTGGTTATTTCACTATGTAGATGATATCCTCTTTATGTTTGTTTACATTAGCAACATTTATATACCAACACCAATCACAGAAGTAATGTATGGACCATTAAACACTGAATAACGCAAGCAGGCGATTTTTGTAGTTTTCATTACACGTTAGGTACTAATGTTATTGCATTATCTGATTTAAATGTAGCATACGCTTTAAGAAAATATCGTATTATGCATAATTATATTTCTACTCTGATGCCCGAGTTAAGTGCAGTCGTAATTAATCCACTGCGATTCCTTTTGAAGTTATAAAGTCTTTCTAAGCAAGATCAAACTTGATGACACAATTATATCGTACGTGTAAAATATTCGCCATTGAAAGTGAGTTATTGTATGCATTATTCATAAAAGAAAATTATATTGTTGCCTACCTAAATCACAAAGTATATAATTCGTTTATAAACAGCAAAACGTGTTTACCGCAAGCAAACTGTGATGGTACTGGCCCTCTGACCTAGTTGTCCTACACTGTTATCTTAGGAGCGGAAGACAAGGGGTCAAGTTGCCATAGAGAAAATAGGCAACTAGATACCTTCTTATCTGTTCTTAATGCGTTCCAAGTGGCAAGTATCACACAATACCAAAGAGTGAGTGCAGCCTTTGCTGTTCCCAGTCGTGCTTGCCTAATACGCTCATAATTACAACGAGTCAGACGACACAAATTCCATCAGGGGTGTAGTTACTCTCGTATGGCTCATCAAATGAATCTTACAGTAGGAAAAGTGATTATATCTACATCATTGTGAATAAAATAAACATACAAATTCCACATCAGCAGCATCTATGTGTTTGTGACTCAGGTTTTTAACGTACAATTTTTCAGTCATATTGCTACGATGTATGCAGTGTGACAGTTGAAAGCGATGTCTAGCACTGGGGCATCATACCGCAGACGTGTAGCACCTGTCCCACCCAGTCACATTATCCTGACACCAGGCCAACCAATCCTAACACTAACCTCTTAATGCTGAGCGCCTAGCGAGGCAGCTATTAGTACCATTTTTAGCAGTTTTTGGTATGACTTGGCCGGGGTCCGAACCCTCGACCTACCGCATCCGAGGCGGATGCTCTAACCACTGAGGCCACCGGAGCGGTCGCAGCATGTGAGAAATGCTTTATACTGTGTTCCCCTTATGCGGTTTATTAAGTTGTGAGTAGTAATGGGGGTAACGTGGAAACAGATAGGACACTGAGAAATATAAGTTTTAAAATGGTCCATACATTTAACTTAATGGGACTGATTAACGAGAAGGCAGACCGTAATGTTTAAACGTCAGTAGGTTTATGAGACTGTACTGTGACATAGGAAAATGTAATATTAAAATTACAAGGAAAAGTTTCCCTTTGTCGATTGTAATGTTTTTTTATATATAAATTGTAATGTACAGTGACAATGTGAATATGTAATGTTAAAAATGTACATATACTTTTACTGACCATCACTCAGTTATCTACTGACCAACGCCCAACACGTACTAAACAATACATCGTTTGAGTGACCAACACATACACTTACTAACCCTAACCAACGAAAATGTTAGGGTGTAATAGAAGGGATATAAAAGTACACTATACTTATAAACATACCTACTATACTATCACACAAGGGTAGGAATATTTATAGACGCTATACACACAAATATCGATTAGGGGTTTTTAAGTTTTAGCTGTAAATGTCATAGAATAACACGTACACACATAGATTGACAATAACTAAGTGTCGTCTGCTTTCTAAAAGAATTCGGTGGCCATGTAAAGAGTCACTGGAGATGTTGTCTTGGATCAAAAATCTTACTGACTTCCAAGGCAACTGCATCTCCCAGACCTAGTTCGACGGGCTCGAGAGCAAATGCACATATGGTTCAAATCTTTCCATCAGATGACCTTGACCGAGAGCCTAAAATTTGGTTCGTTTGCCTCCATCTACCAATTATCCCTATTGCCCCTGATACACGGACGTAACGGAAATCATTCATCAAAGTTAAGATACGGACGTGAAACAAAATAGAGTAAGAACGAAAATTATCATATCAAACGATTTTTTTTAAAAAAAGGAAACAAACAAACACGCAGCACAATTATTTTATAAATCAACATGTTTATAATAAGCCTCGCTAACTAAAATCAACAAATGATGAAGAGGGAGGACAAAATGTTGTCAGACAAATACGAATCGAATGTTAAACCTATTTGCAAGGTTGAGAACGTTATGGGTCACTCGTACAGTAATTTAGTAAACTATCAATTTGCCATTAATGTAAGCTATGTTTTTGAGACCAAGACAATAGATATCCACAATGTTCACAAAACCACTATTCTACTTTCGCATCATTTCAAGAAAAAGCTTTCTTAATGCGATTCAGTAAATGTTCCATTGGGAATCCAGGACTAAAGTTGCAGAAAATATACAAAAGATGGTGGACACACTATCAAATTAACCCTTGTAATATCACATTATTGAATGAAATAAATAAATCATATCTTCTTATAACGTCTTTGATATCGTTTTCAAGGGTATGTAATCCATGGGAATCAAAATACTGAAGTCGTAGAGAAAGTACACACTAGCCAGCGTCTTCCAGGACGATGACTGTCGTAAGCATTTATGACATAAACTTGAGTATCTTTAGGTTTTCTATGATGAAATTCGTATTTAGCACAACACTTGGTCTTGGGTTCTAAGGCTCAACTGCAACTTCTGGGCTATTGCCAGGACTAATCTTCGAATGATATCAATAATCACCGCCAAGCCTGGTTATAATAAATGAAAAATCAATGTAAAAACAATGCATTAGTCCACAAATCATTTTATGCTGTGTAAACATCAGCACAAGGAGCTTTCGATTTATTTAATTTTGGTTTGGTAGTGGAAGTTCCAAATCACAGAAATAAAAGGTGCATAAATAATATGAAGAAAGAAACCACACAATAAAAAAGAACCAACGAAAATTTCCGTACATGCACATATAATTACTCAATTAAAAAACGAAGGTACAAGAGAGGACATACATACATACATACATACATACATACATACATACATACATACATACATACATACATACATACATACATACATACATACATACATACAGACAGACAGACAGACAGACAGACAGACAGACAGATAGATAGATAGATAGATAGATAGATAGATAGATAGATAGATAGATAGATAGATAGACGAGTCCCACTGTGACGTGGTTCGTTATTCCCTTGTTTGGTTTTGTATAAAAAATTAGGGTGGGGTGTTTCCGATATTTATTTGGATGTAGCACCCACCCAGGATCGATTATGGTTCAGAAGTTTGTGAATGTTGCTGTATAGCTCTGAGCCCACAGCCAGCAATGCCGACAATTAAATAATAAAAGTTCAAAGGGTGAACTTAAATAACAACAATTTAATTGACAAACAAATATTCAATCACTCGAACTTCACAATGCTCCCCTTTCGCTCGATCCTTTTAACCTATCTCATCATATGAATTATAGTGTGAGAATTTCGCCATGTCCTTGGTTTTTACTCATCTCCTGATTCTTTCCGTCTGTGTAATTCTCTCTGGGTTCCCTCTCGTACTCCTCCACTTCCGCTCCTCCCAGCTACTTATCCTCCTCTACTTCCCTCGTCATTCGTTCTCTCTCTCTCTCTCTCTCTCTCTCTCTCTCTCTCTCTCTCTCTCTCTCTCTCTCTCTCTCTCTCTCTCTCTCTCTCTCTCTCTAACCGGAAGGTGTCCCCCGAAAAGCTTCTTGTAAAACACAAGGATGATATACTAAAAGCTTCTTGTAAAACACAAGGATGATATACTATTTTTCCTAGGTGTTCACCTCACACAACCATGTAGCTTATCATCAGATAAGGCTATCAAATTTCATCGGTCACACATCCATTCACATGGAGATAAACATACATTCTTGTATGGTAAAACACAATATAACAACACAACATAATAATAACATCATAAAAGCACGATATCAATTACTCGTAAACATACAACGATAATTGGTTCACATCAGTACAGGCTCATAATTCGATGATACTGACAATATCACAACAACCAGACGCTTATCTTTGCATCACACCTTATACAAAATATACAAATATGCAAATATATATGCCGCTCTGACATATTCAAACATATTTTCTAATCTTGCACACATCAATCATTTCTTGACTCCAATACAAATATGCGCAAACTCTACATACGCATTACTAAACTACTGGTTATCTCGAAGTAACCTAAAACGACTTATAACATTAAAGCTGCTGAACTAGCAATCTACATAAGAACACGTAACTCAAATTCAGTTCTCAACCAAGCACATAAATGAAACACTACAAAGGAATTCTACCTACTAAACAATCCCAGTAATTTGGTAAAACATAATATCAGTACTTACCGTTACGGTGCTGTAATGTTTGCGAGAATCTACCTTTGAAGCTTCCGCTATTTGTTCCCAATCCTTTGTTGTTCGATTTTCGCCAATTTCACGAGTGGGGTTCCTGGAGTATTTCTTACCACAGTGCTTTCCGAAAGTCTCCAGTATATACTAACTGGTTTCTAAGAGTTAGGCCCGCCCACTAGCTAAATTTCGATTGGATGCGGTTGGCTTGACTCAATCCACTGAACTGTCCAGGTTCGGTCCGTCCACCCCGTTAATCCTGCGAACTCCCCTTTGATCTCCGACCAATATCTATAACGTATGGGTGAAAGGTACCGGTTGGACACAGAAAATTGAGTTTCCTGGATACTTACCTCATCGCTTGACACTACCGGCGGCGATTCTTCACACACCAAACACGTTGAACTAGCCCCACGCTTATACCTCATGTTAGCTTAGGCTTGCAGAACGTGATATATATATATATATATATATATATATATATATATATATATATATATATATATATATATATATATATATATATATATATATATATATATAGAGAGAGAGAGAGAGAGAGAGAGAGAGAGAGAGAGAGAGAGAGAGAGAGAGAGAGAGAGAGGTGGATGAAGCATGCAGGCTTGCATTGCTTTAATCTATTCAAGCATTTCATCCGGAGAAGAAGCAACTTACATCCTCGAGACAAACACTAAACACAAAAGCAAAGAGAAAACCCGGACTAAATTTTGATTACATGTTTGGATGACGGGAAGGGGTGTCAACAAACAAGAGTTAAATGGGTTTTTTTTATTTAAAAATAATATGAACTTTAATAGATCTGTTAATAAATGGACGCGTAGTATCGATCAATATATATATGATACCGGAAAATATTCATTATCCCACTTTTCATCAATAAAAACGGGATTTGAATAAAATCTATACTAATCTCCATCCCCTTCAAAAATTGAAAGAATAAGTCTTGGATAATCTGTGTCACCTGGGTTATTTAAATTAGGCATTTTATAATTTATTCAGTGATTCAAGTTTCGTTGTTCAAATTGATATCCAACTAAACTTTTTTTTACATCCAAATAGAATCAATCCAAGTTTTTTTTAAAAACTATCTTTCCTGCGACAAAAATGTTGTTGATCAATCTTATTCATATTCGTAATCTTGGCGAGTTTGTTTTGCCTCTGAAATTTCTCACTTTGGGCATCATGCATTTCATAGATCCAGGTACTTCTTTTTAAATTCAAATTATTATTAGCGTTTTTATTTTAATAATGAACTCCAATAACTGGATACAGTACTGCGAGTTAATTTCGCTTGCTTAGACAATAACAAGCTCATAGCCATGAATTCCTGCAGTATATCAGGAATCTTTGATTCCGCAACAGCTTTAGACACAGAAATAATCTCTTAGCGCAGATTACTAAATATAGTGAAGCTATTGATTCATTTCAATACTGCCATCCGCTGGTAACCAAGCTTTGCACGTCAAATGGAGGAAACAACTGCCAGATTGTAACTGTATGGACAAGCAGCGCCGTGAACCTTTTACGATAGGCAAGGCTGATGGAACCATATTGTCAGTGTGGCTATACAAATTAAAACTATTAAAAAAAGACCATGTGGGGTCAAAATCAAATTCTTTGTTAGCTCGTGCCCAACTCGTCTATTTATCGAAAACTGCTTGGTAGAAATAAACTG